CAACAAGAAACGTTATTTTGCCCAAAAAAAAAAAAAAAAAAAAAAAAAATCAGGAATCGTTTTCATGGGATAAAAGCATCTCAACAACTTGTCTCATGGTGGGCCTTGCATCCCTGTCTTCCTCTACGCATTTTAGAGCCACTTGAACGAGTATTTCAACCTCTCTAATATTATATTGGCCCTCCATTGAGGGGTCTATGATCTCTTCTATCCACGCTTCCGTGGACAATGCGCCACCAACCATTTTTTCTCTCACCCACGTCACCAGCATTTTCGGTCGTGCTTGATCTCCATCAATATCTTCACTATCATGAACTCCTCTCATTGGATTATTTCCCGTCAAGATCTCCAACACAACAATCCCATAACTATAAACATCCACTTTGGAGGTGATTGGAAGATTGTAAACCCACTCAGGAGCCATGTAGCCTCTGGTGCCTCTTATCCTTGAGAAGCTTGAGTACTTGCCAAGCTCACCTCTATTTAGTAGCTTTGAGAGGCCAAAATCCGCCACCTTTGGTTGATAATTAGAGCCCAGGAGAATGTTCTGAGGCTTTATATCACAATGCAAAATCCACTCTAAGCACTCGTCGTGCAAATAAGCGAGGCCTTTTGCGGTGCCTAAAGCGATTTCGAACCTCTTTTTCCAATCTAATACATTGGAAGCCAAATTTTCAGCCAAGGACCCATGTTCCATATATTCGTAGACCAGAATCCTGTGCTTTCCCTCCGCGCAATATCCCCACATCTCTATTAAGTTCATGTGATTTAGTCTTCCAATGGTACTAACTTCTGCGAGAAATTCGACTTCTCCTTGGCTAGTATCTTTCAGTTTCTTGACAGCCGCAACTCTATTATCGGATAATACTGCTTTGTAGACAATTCCTCCGGCACCTCTTCCTATCTCTTCGCTGAAACCTCTTGTTGCCTTCTTCAATTCTGCGTAAGAAAACTTTCTAAAGCCAGTTGCGGCAAGCATATAACCTTGCATATTACCCGCTCCTGATTTTTCATGGCTGCGAATCACAAAAAACCAAACCATAAAGATAACGATGACCTCAAGTCCTCCAACTCCAGAAGCGAAGCATAGCAAGAACTTGAGGAGCCCGCTTACACGTGTTTTCGTATACTTTCGGTCAAGTTGTACAGTGTCATTGCTAGACGATGAGCAATCTAAATTCAAGTTGTCATTTGTAGTCATATTGGATAGAGAAGATAAGATGGTTTTGGGCAGTTTCAAGTAAATGTCACCATCAAAACCTGGCGTGTGATATCCATTTCGCAGTTGCATCTTGGCGTAACAATTGTAGCGACCACCGCCATTGTCATATTTGTAGTGAAAGCCTACGCATGAATCGCACAATTCTAAGCATACAGCCTTGCAACGTTCTAAGGTATAATCCCCATATAGCTTATAATCATACCCATAGTATTCAACATTTGGAAGGTAAGCGAAGCCGGCAAACTCAGTTGTGCTATTGGGGCAGGAGAGCTTGAAATCGGGCTCGCAACCTTGAGTCCAGTCATTGGGGTTTATCATCTTATAACCAGGAATGCAAGAGCATTTCCTACCAAATTCAGGAACATATGTACACAAGCTATTAGCCCCGCAAATGCCATGAATCTTGCATGGTTGCAAAACGGCTTCCCACGTGACAATCCACTTCGCTCCTGACAGCTTTCGACTGTATAATCGAAGGTCACCGTCGGGCTCAACCGTCAGTCTTCGTTGGACTCGAGTACCATAATCGGACGCCAGAGCTCTGAAAGTGTCTGACGCGCTAAAGTTGCCTAATGAATCAAGCTTGGCGATTCTACTGTCGTTGAAGATGGACCTTCCGGCTTGCGAAGGGAGAAGCCAAGGGTCCGGCCAATAAATGCTCGATCTCTCGGGGCTCCTGTAGAGAAGGCGGAGAACGTTGTCATCGTCGAAGAAGAGCGTGTAGAAGCCAGAGGAGTAGCTGGTCTGGCTTCTTGACGACACAAGCTTCGTGTCTTTTGTGAGCGATTGTCCAGGAAGAAGAGTGTCCGTTGGTGAGGCGAAGCTTTGCCATAAAACGACGTCGTCTAGAGAGCTCAGGACGAGGTTTCCGTTGTCTTGGAGCTGTAACTGGGCTGCCGAGTTGTAAGAAGAAGCAGTACTACTGTCGCTTGACCAAACGACCGATTGACCGGCGTCTCTCAATACGAGATTACCAGATCTTCGGAACAACAGCTTTGACCGCCTTCCGTTTACCGGCTCCTCCCGGTTAGCCATCCAGACCACCGTGAGGTCGTGTCCCTGTGATGGCTCGGTGAACCATATGGCAAAGCAGTATGCATTGTGGCCAACCTGGAAAAATCCGGCGGAAAATACTCTATTTTGAGATATCAAAACATCAGCTGGGTTTTCTACCGATAGTGACGACCCTGCTTGTAAGCTAGAGGATTCCGAAGATGAGTGAGGAAAACATAAGGAAAGCAAGAAGAATGTAATGAACGAAAATGGAGTACTGCCCATTTGTTAATTATTGGAAGCAGAAAAATCATTGAAATGAGGCTTAAATTTAGGCGGTACTTCAAATTAAATGAGTGTCCCCAGCTATATACAAGCAAAGCAATGGCTAGAATTTGCATATGGAAAGTGATGTAAAAAGGCCGGCTTGACCGACGGCCGATTCTGAGGGCCAGATCGGTCACTACAAAAAATAATATTGTCTCTCATATCCCACTAGTCTTTTCTACGAAATTATTATACATGTATACATGTAACCGGAAAAGAATGCAATTACAAAAACAAATAGCCAAAATAGCCATGCATTCAACTAACGGTCTTTCTATATTTTAATGAAATACACTCCTGTACGACTAATATTGTTATCTTGATTATGCGCAGCCACGAAGAAAAAAGGTTGGTGATGACTGTTGAGGGAGAATTCTCTTGGACATGTGTCATTAAAAATAGACCATTTGCAGTATTAATACAATATCCGAAAACTAGGCTCTATGGCACGCCAAGTTGGACTTGATGTTCTTAGTACACGTCAATTTAAAATAATACAATGACCAGACTTGATGTTCACACAGTAATTGTATAATCTATTATTATTATTATTATTATTATTAGAGAGTTGATCCGGTAGAGAAGTTAAGAGGTTAAAGGGATGTTTAGTTGGAGGATTCAAATCATGATTTAAATCATAGTTTATAGTTTGTTACAGTATTTTCTCTCATAAAAAATACACGTAAATCGAAAATAATTCTAATCATATGATTCTAATCCATCAACCAAACGTCTCCTAAACTTTTTGATACCAAAAAATTTTTAGTAGTAGAAAACACACTTTTTGCTACCAAACTTTGGTAATTGAAAGTATCAAGGCTTTGGTTACCAAATTTGGTAGCAAAAACAACACAATCCGCTACCAAATATAATTTGGTAACAAATAACATGGCGGGAAATGAAATTTGGTTCCCGCCAATAACATTTTGCTACCAAAATAATATTTGATAACAAAAACATAAGATTCTGCCACCAAAAATTTGGTAGCAAAATATTACTTTTTTGCTACCAAACATGTTTTGGTAACAAAAAGTTGGCGAGAAGCAAAATTTTTTCCCGCCCGAGGTATTTGCTACTGAATTATTTTTGGTAGCAAAATATATAACATTTGCTACCAAGTGTTGGAAGCAAAATATAACTATCTGCCACCAAAATTTGGTAGCAAAAAAGCAAGTTTTTGCTACCAAAAAACATAAATTTTTACTACCAAATTTTGGTAGCAGAAAATAATAATTTACTACCAAATTCTTATTTTGGTGATAAAAAGGTCTTTTTTTTTGCTACAAAAAGTGGTGTTTGGTATCAAATCATATAAAAACATTAATATTAATATTTTGTGCTTGTATTGCTTTTTTTTTTTTCCTTTCAATTTTCTAAGAATATGTCCTATATTAAGTTTTAACAATCATCCTAATATATTTTATATAACAATTATTTGATAATTTAGTTATTTTGTGTAGGTGTAACAAGAGACATGTATACACATATGTGGTCTTATTAATTAAGTATATGTTCCACATAGAGTAGTATATAATCTCGCTATTTGATTGATTTTTAATTTTGAATAATGTATTTCAATTTCAAAACAATATTTTTTGTTATAATGTTATTAGACCAATGATTCTTAAATAATTTGACATTAAAATGTTATTTTTTTAATGTTTAATATACGTATTTCTGGTACCAAATTCATATTTAGTAGTAAAATATATGCTTTCAGCTACCAAGATAATGTTTGGTAACAAAAAACATAAGTTTTTTGTACCAAATTTTGGTAGCAGAAAACATGATTCATATTATAAATATGAAGCTTAACAAAATAAAAAGAAAGCGAGACAAAAGCCTATTTTGGTGAGACTTATTTCTACTGCATTCGAAGTAGTTTTACGTAAATAAAATGTATCGTTTAGTCCATAAATTTGAATAAAAATTTAAAAAATATATATAATATTTTGAACTTTAATTAAAACTTATGAAACATCTATTTCATTTAGTTGGCCAGATGTAAAAAAAAAAAAAAAAAAAAAAAAAAAAAAAAAAAAAAAAAAAAATTATAGCATATCATTTATAAAGTCAAAGTCTACATAAGAAGCTTCGATTGGAAGAGGACAAGGAGCCTTTATAATAAATCCACTAGTCATCAATTTCTAGCGCCACCAATCTTAATTTATTAGTCCTAATTAATCATTCATAAAATTTTGTTCGACTTCTAATTTCGTCTAAAACTCTCGTTTTTATATTTCTATTCAAGTAAGTTGCTTATATTAATACATGAATAATTTGGTATAATCCTATTTATTCTGGGGTCAGATACCCATTTGTTGTCTCGTCATAATTCTTTAACATTACTCGCCCAATATTATTTAAATCGTATAACACAAGTTTTAGTCTAAATTATTTGGTAGTTACACGAATACTATGCAAGTTAAATCTTAATCAGGGAATGATATAAGTTAGCTGAAGTTCAACTGAGAAGCCGACATATATTTTATGTTTTGACGTATTTCTTCCACACTACCCTTTATAGTTAAGCTTAAGCCAATGTTTATTCATTAGCGACACGTATCTACACTTATAAGAACGCTAAGCGTGTTTTTATTTATTTATTTATTAAATAAGCAGATTACAAAGAAGAAAAATAAAAGACAACTTGCCTACACTGAGGCAAAGATAAAATAAATTGCTAGGAATTTTGACCCACTCATCCAACTGACATAATTGATTTGTCGAAATTCATTTCGCAATGTTGTGAGTTAAAACGTTTAATTCTCGTGGAACTTAGAAGAAATTGCAAGCACAGTATAAGTGGTTGAGGTGATCTTCGGTCCTTGATAAACAAGATTGGTCTTATAAACTAATATGAATATTTATCCTATATAACAATGATTTTGATATCCAATAACAACTAGTTTGAGATAAATTAATTTGTCATTGCCCATACTTTTTTAGTCATTATTATATAGAATAGGCCTTGTTCAGCTCACCGATTCGAGTTTTCAATTCAAATTGAGATGTGACTGTTCACGGTAAAAAAAAAAAAAAAAAAAATTTGCACGTTTTAATGGAACGTGATGCAAAAACGTGGAGTAAAAATGTGGTGCAGAAACGTGGTGGAGTAGTGATAAAAAAAAATAAAAAATAAAAAAGATAATGGTGCATAACATGGTGTGTACGAAACGTGGGTGGTGATAAAAAAACTGCTATGGAATTCCTTTATATAAATGAAGAAACATGAAGAAAAAAAAAAGAAAAAAAAAAGAGACTGTGCGTGTGTGTAGGAAAAGGTGAGAGAAAGTAAAAAAAAAGGGACTTTTCTGAAGTTAGATAAAACAAATCGTGTGTGCAGGTGGGTGTGCAGGGACGTGAAAAGAAAAAAAAATCAAAAGTGTGTGTGTGCAGGAGATAAACAAGAAGGTAAATACAAGTTTTGGTCTTCTTTTGCACTAATGGTTTTAATTTTCTAGTACAGATGCATCACGTTTAAATCAAATTCTATATACGCTTTAAAGTGTAAGATTATAATTTATTCTTTGACACTCTCTACGAAGATAAATCTTATATACGCCTTATGGCGTGAGATTTCTAATACCCTTAATAAATTCTTAATGCATTCATGGTGTGTGATTTCTTGTTCTTATCACAATCCTATGATTATCACTAAGACTTAGATTTCTTTTTAGAGATCTATATAAGTTAAATGTGATTTCAAAAAAATCAAGGATTAAAAGTTTCTCAAGTTATTAGGTACGATTATTTTGAGTGCAATTCGAGTAAAAAAACTCATATGAATTACACTTTAAAGATCGGCATATGAAATTATGTGCATATGATTTATATGAAAATATTCATATAAATCGTACTGTACAAAAAAAAAAAAAACAATCACAAAAGGAAAATATTAAAAAGAAGTGGCCAAACAACTGCCACAAGCTCTTTTTCGAAGCATCAATATATATATATATATAGACACATACCAAAGTTTACGTGCTGTGATGCTTGCTGCATTTGTTGGCGGAGAAGCAACAATGTTCATATATACTATATATATATATATATATAAGAAACGGAAACGTGTAGAAATAATGCTTGCTGTGACGCTTGCTATGCATTTGTAGAAAAATTGGCTTACGCTTGCTATGCGTTTGTGACTTTATATATATATA